AGAGGAAACCGGTTGTATATTAACCAAGGAAATCGATATGATACCGTGTTCTTTCATCAAGCTTCATATTCTTTTTTAATCCGGCGCTTCTTCAAGACTCCTGTCCCTCGCACAAAGATCTGAAAATTGCTAGGCCAGAGGAAGAACTTCAAAAGAATTTACGTCCCGCGTGGCGGGTGTGCGTCGCCTCTTATTATACGGAGGACAGTTTCAAAGAATCCGTTGATCCGAGCTTCCATCACGACGCGGGCACATATGGGAACCTTTTCCTCCACCTCGAAATTCCTCTGTGCCTGCGTTCGCTTTTTTTTTTTCACCCACATTTCTACAGGTATATCTTCTCTGTACGTACGTACTCTCGTCGTTTCTATCATCTGGCACGCCTCTGTAAACAAAAGCAAAACCCGGGCTTCGTGACCGACGCCGAGGCACAATGAGAGGACGAGAGTCGCAGCGGGGGTCGGTAGAAATCTTTTAAAAATAGCTTTCTCCGCAAGAAAGCCTCGAGTGGGTTTCTCTAATTAAACAGAATTTCCTTGATTAACCGAGCCGACGAGCGTCGTCAGGATTCTTTTTTCACCGACGTCGTCGTCTTCCTTTTCTTCCCAGCTTTTTAGATCACGGTCTTCAAATTAATCTGACCAGCGACGCTATTAAAGCGTAGAAGAACTCGCGGGGGAGGCTTAAGAAAACAGCGTCGCGTTTTCCTAACAAGAGTCGCAAACGGGTCGCACGAACGTTACGTACGTGGTTTCAAAGGGAATATTGTACACAAATTGCATCGAAGAAAGTCGTTCGGGTGCAGCGTCGGAGGGAACGCAAGTCGCAGTCGATTCCCGTTGGCTCCGTGTCAATACCATCGATAACGTTTATCCGTACGCTCGCTGCACGGAGATTAAGTCCAGACTGGCCTTTCCCAGGTAATCAGGGGATACGATTATCTTCCTGCTGATCTAAAAACCTACTTCTCATCGCATGAGACCGTATTTCGCGATATCTCTAATTTTGGCTTTTCTTTTCAACCGCAAGCATCGTTTTCGCAACTGTTCTCCACCCCCGGTTTTTATATCGTTTAGCGTTTTATAATTGAAGAGGAAAGCGTCTCCAAGTAATAAGGGTGGACTCTCTAAAACGTAGTTTCCTTACCGGTACCGGGATAAAAAAAGCTCGAGTGGACTTTCGTAATTAAAGAGAATTTTCTAAGTGACACGCCAAATTAACTTAACGACTTTCACGCTCCGTTACGTTTCAACGATTTCGAATTTCTCTCGCCGTTTTCCTCTCCTTCTCTTTTCTTTCGTTCGCAAACTCGCGCGACCGTTTGTAGATCACGAGAATTCTTGAAAAACATTAGAATATAACATAGGAATACGTCGTTGTGACCTCAGATTTTAGAAGTTCGGACCGAAACGAGGTTGATCGAACTATTCGGGTCGCGCAATTCGTTACTGCTTATCGTCGGAACAGATGTTATTGGTAAAATGTCTAGCGCGTGTGTATTATTCACCGGGAGAGGAAGAGAGAGGCTCATTGTCGCGGCACGACTGTTTTCCTGTTCAGTCATCCGGCGTTCAAGTATCGCGCAGCCCTTCGGTGCACGTCGCGCGTATCTCCGCTCCGCGAAATTGATTTTTCAACGAATATGTGACGACGAATCCTATACCTATCCTCTATCGCCGATACACGCAAATACACACCCTCGGATGCTCGCAAATCCCGAAAGCTCGAGGCTCGCTGAATTCCATGGTTAACGTTCGAACAACTTCCGCTCTCGAAGAGCGCGATACCGCACCGAGCTTCCTGGCTCGTAAAATAAATGCGCCAAGTCAATTTTCATGGGAACAGATGTCGGATCGTATCTTTCTCGTTTAAATTGGTCGCGAAAAAAATGTAATAACGTTCCTCGTCAGACTATATTGCTCGGCTGCAACGGAGAACCAAGTTTTACGCGTTACGTGCGACGGGGGTGTACCTTTACGCAGATGCACACCAGTACCGAAGATTGCTGCCGGTATACTGCGTCGTGTCGCGCTTTCCGATAGCGTAAAGCCGATGATACCATACAAATGGATATTACGAATTACGAGCACTTCCTTTTTCTCGATCTTCCAGGCAGCAGCGTTCGCGCGCAAAGGAAAATACATATATATATGTGTAAATATGTACCCGCATGAACTACGGATTCTACGTTAGAGAATTCCATTTTTATGTATGCCGGTTTAATGACCAGCCTGCGCGATTTTCCGACCTTCCCGATGTCGATACATCTCCGGAAAAGATATTATTCGTACCGCGTTGGGTAACGGATGAAGACAACCGAGTTATTGACAGACGAAATTGTTATCGTGCGTCAGCGTTGCGAAAAAACGATACTCGCGTCCATAGTTTTTGCTACCTTTCATATAGGTTGCGGTCTGTCTCCAGCGATTCGATTCCATCGCTCTGGAGAACGTACAAATACATTTGCAATTAGATCAGACATCGGGATGAAACGTTTTAAACCGAGCCAGGACCTGTAATATTTTGCACGTATTCGTCGTCGAATCGTGCGTGCGGCGCGCAAGGACGGACCTTGAAACGATATGATTTATGCGCGTCGTCGTGTGCACCCTTTACCAAATCAATCTGCAGCTTCCGTGGGTCCGCGGACCGAGCCGGTCAGGGCCGTCGCAATTTTCTCGCGTGCCGTTGGTGTACGAACGTTCCGCGTACGAACCGTCGCATCAAAGCTCACTGGGTTTCGTGTCGTCAGGAAATTTAGAGACAAATACTTGAACCCAGTGTGACTCCTCTGTGTAACGTTCATTACGTATAATAGCAGACCGCAGTTTTAACGGAAATTTCGTGCGCCGTGTCGCACGCAAAATGCTAATTAACCCGAAGAACTGGTACAACGGACGATTAACATGGCGGAGATACGTATTGAAAGTCGAGCGCGCTATTAAATATCCTGGACAGCCACGCCTCGTTTCCAAATTATAATTACGCTTTATTGAATATTCCACGCGGACGCGAATTCCGCTTAAACGCATAAATATGCACGCTCGCTGTGTGCGTCGATACGTATTTACGTCCGAGACGAGCCGAGGAGCTGTTTGGAAAGTTATCGTAATCAGAAGCGTATTTCGCAGTAGGAATGTTGATTTTTCGTGGAGCGTCGAAAAAATACAGTTTTGTTATCTCTCGTTTTTCTCTCGGTTCACTCGACTCGTCGTTCGATACGCGGTGATAGCGGCACGGGCCACTGTCGTCGTCGTCGATCGTCGTTATCGCTTCCCTTTTCTTCTTTCAATCTCTTCTTTTTCTGCCACGCATTGCTGGATTCTTTTCACCCCGTAAGAATGCTGCGAAATGGCACGGCCGCTACGACTATAGTTACGAGCCGCGATTCGCAGAACCGCTGCAGCTGCCGTTCATTAACGCCGCGGTTATTAAACCTTTCGTCGCGCCGCAATCCGCGCCCATTCTCTTACACGACCGTGCCTACCACCCTCGTTCGAATTCATTCTTCCCGGCCCGATTCGACACGGCTATTTTCCAGTTAATTTTCTCACCGTCCAATTATACCGAACGGAACAATTGTCCCGTGTGTACGCGTCCCAGTTTACTTTGTTAACACCGGCCATGAAATTCGGTCCAACGTATCCAGCCGATTAATACCGCCGAAAAAGTCAGCGAGTAAAATTAGCGGGTGAAAAACGAGGTCCACGCGAAATTTACGGTTAATAAATCGCCAAAACCGCGTGATAAATTTTAATCAGCCGATAAAAGGACTCTTAAAAGGACAACAACGGTGACGCAATTGTTAACGCGTTTAAGTTACGGCGGAAAGCGACTTGGTCGCGAATTGAAAAAGTCAACTACGCAGCTGTGTAGCAGTTAGTTTCTCGTTTGTTACGTCGTGCCGCCGTCGCGTTAACGAACACGGTTCTTTCTGAAGATTAATTAACATCCCTTCGTCGGAGCTCGGTTATAATAAGTGCACGTCCGCGAGTTCTCTTGACATTAAAAAAATCATTCCTCCCATTGCCCTCTGCGAGATCACTTCTTTTCGTCTTCTCCTAATCCTTGCATCTTTTCTACGTTACGATTGTTCGTAGAAATATTAGAACGTGGTAACGATCCCCTGTCGTTATGAATAAACTGCGAAGATAACTTGATTCCCATCTGCGAGCCCCACGATTCGTCGTCGTCGCCCCTCAATTATTACGCACACGTACGCGTGTTGCTCGTCCAAATAATTTCGATTGATTCTATATATAGAGAAGTAGCGGCGTTCGTAATGAGATAAACGTATCATTGTTTCATTGGCATTGATTGTCGAAATCGTTGACACAAATGGAAAAGATTCCAGTGATTGAGGTGCAAACGTAAGAGACACAAACGAACGGTTTCCTCTCGTGAAAGGGCGACAAATTGCTTTCGGTATAATTTTCTCGCCCCCGCACTTCCCTATTAATTAACATCACGGTTTAACCCGTGCATACGCGTATGCGCGAAACTGGATTGTACGAGTACTCTTGCCTATCGCTTTTAAGGTACGTCCACGGAACAAGCCCAGTTTGTAATCAATTGACGAGCGATCCGATCAGCTTCCGAAAAGAATTACGAGCAATTCGATGGGTGCGAAGCGGTAGCTGTGAAAGCGTTAAGGGCGGCGCGTGAGCCAACTGGCCCGTAAATTTCCAACGTGTCATCCGCGAAAAGAATTGTGTTCGGGCTGTGGCGCTTGGCGCGGCAGCGAATGGAAAGCAGAACGAGAGAAATGGGCGCATGGGAAATTGATTCCTAACGGAAACTCTGCGAATCTGTTTTCATTTGGTGAAACGCGAACTCGAAAGAAACGAGAACCGAGTAGAAAAAAGTAGATCCCCCAACAACGAGCAGTCTCCGTTCTACGCATACCTATCTCCGCATGAGGTTTTGCTTTCCGGATAATGATTAGAACGACGCTGATTAAGGGGAGAAGCTTAACGAGGCGTTCGCTTTTTTGTCCGCAGAATGAAGCTGTGCCGGAGTTTGACGCTGGTCGGTGTCGCCCTGTTGATGATCGTCGTCGCCATCCGGGCGGAATCCGATCTGTGGGAAGAAGATGACAAGGAGGTTCTCGTGCGAACTGTTCGCGGTACCAAAGAACGAGGTACAATTAACTTTAATTAAAGACATCTATCCGCGTGTCGCGTTTAAAACGAGAATCGAAGCGAACCTCTAGTCGGTCTAGCTGAAAAGTTAGCTCGCCTCAAATGTAGTCGCGGCAGATGCTCACGGGTTTAATCTGCCGTGAACGATCGATCGTTTAAAAAATATTACCGATCCGATATAGAGGCAACGAAAAAGGAGGATGAAGATGGAAAGATGGAGCGTGGAAGCGTGGAGCATCGGTGAGGTCGATCGAGCGGAAGCGTAGAAAGAAAAAGAAGGGTGGGCAGGGCGCCGGGGGCCTGCGGAACTGGCCTACAGAATGAAAAGCTTCTTTTGTCTTTACCGCGGCTCTTTCTCTCGTCCTTCCTTCCCTAGGCTTTCCTCCGCTCTCGCGAGGAATACAATTGAAATATCACTGAACGGGCCGCGAGCCGTTTCATTGTCGACTAACGTAAGATCGTTTGGTCTTAGAAATTTATTCGTGCCAGGATCGAGCTTCCGGAAGGGGTCACGGCGGGAGGGTGGCTTTTCTTCGGGGCTCTCTTTTTACGTTGGAACAAGCAAACTAGGTAAAAGGAAGCTGGAAAAATTAGTGCCGTGCTCTCTGTTTCCAGCTTTTCGTTGCTCCGGGGCTTTAGGGAAACGAGGCTGTAGTTTTAGAGGTTGTCGAGTACGTTTAGATGCTTCTCTGTCCACTCGATCGGTCGTGGCTCCAATTATCTCTATTGACGTTTCGCATCTGTTCATCTGTTGACGCAGCATCCGGTAGCACTTCGTCGTGTAGATACGTGAAGGGTCAATGGTCGGAATGCGATTCGAAAACCAACACGCGATCCCGTACGCTGAACCTGAAGAAGGGTGACAAATCCTGCGAGCTGACCAAAACCATCCAGAAGAAGTGCAAAAAGGGTACGTTATCCCCATATTGTTGATAGTTCACTATACGTGTCCGTATAGGAACGCAAGTTTACGTAAAGAATTATTTTTCTAACGAATTCTTATTATTCGCAAAATATAAATAAGCAAATCTTAGTTTTCATTGTTCAAATGAATCTCTTACCGAGTAACTTAAAATTAACATAAGACAAAAATAGAAGAGAGTTCAATTCGAAAGTTAAAACCGGTGGCCGATTGAACTTTGAAGTAAGGAAAATATTGGTTTATGGGTGAGCGCAGCTTGCCGGTACGAGAAGGGCACGTGGAGCGGATGCGTGAATCAGCTGATGGCAAGAGTGGACAATTTGAAGGCGAACAGCGACGCCTCCTGCGAGAAGACGCGCCGACAGACCAAGAGGTGTAAGCTGGAGACCAATACCAAGAAATCGTCGCCCAAAGGTAATTCATTTTCTCATCCTTCTAAATACGTCGAGTCATTTTCCGCATGGAACGCGCACCATTACGTAATTATCGTTAGCGTATCGAAGCTAAAAGTACAGAAGAGAGATAATTGTAGCAACTCTATCACAATTTTCGTCATTGTTGTTTCGTGTACATGGTCGTCGTACTCTCGAGATTGACATCGGTGACACGATACTCCGGCTCCTCGAGCACGCTTCGCGATGGCATTGACAGAGTTTAAAGATAGCTTATTGAAAGTTGCCCGCGCGGTCACGGACAATGCCGGCAATAAATGTTCCGTATAAACGATTGAATAGAGAGACCCGTATGTCCAAGGCGAGCTCCGTTTTGTTCGTCGTAAGTCGCGTGTGCCGTAATCGTTCTTTTTCTCAATGAGTTTTCTTTCATGAATGGGATCCTTTTTTCTGGATTACAAAACATTCGTACGGCACACGAGCTGCGAGCATGCAATTGGATGAATGGTCTATAAAACCGCTATGTACCGCTCTGTTCGCATGCGTACGAGACTCGTTCGCCGAGCATAAATCATTCGCACCGTTTAGTTGACAATTAATGGAGCCATTTACATATGTCGCTTCGTCGACTTCGATTGTTTCAGGTGAACGAGCGGCCAAGAAATCGGGTAAGCAGTAAGCGGAATACACACGTCGCGTGTGTATCGTCGATCGATCGCTCGACGTATCGTGGTACGTGACGATCCGTTTCGACAACAGGCAACGAAAAAATGAAAAAACTTGTCTTTTCCAAAAGAAAACTCTAATTTTTCCAACACACAAATATGTACCATCTACCTATTAATATCTAGCGTAAACGATACGAATGAAACGTTCTGCGTTTCGTACGGTGATCGTTGATTGTAAGAAAAAAAAAAACAGAATACAATCGAGTACGGATAATGATCCGACTTTCAAAACCGTATGCGAACGAAGGCACACACCTGTCCGATTTTCGGCAAATAATTACCGATAGTATGTTCTCAGATTTACACTTCCATTCTGTGTACGAGGCCAAACGTTTATTAGTCGCGTATTGCGAAAGTAATAAGAAAACCGATGCATAGTTGATTCCGAATCTCCTTAGCTTTAGCGATTCCGTCGTTTTCCGAAATTGCCGTGTACCAATTGCGTTCTTCTTATCGCATCGTCGGTGCAATGGCATAAAGCCGAGGGCGATTACACGTTATCGTTCCTTCTTTTCCTTCCTTCCTACTCCGTTTCATTCGTTGAATCCTTTGACCGTATTATTCGATACATTGTAAATAATACGATTGGCACGGTTTGCTTACCGTTTTGAAACAAATTACAGTTATCATCGTACCATGCTACCACGTCGAGATACGACGATTATATAGCTATACATATACGACATGGTAAATCTTTGATATAGTTTGGAGAATCGACTAGAGAACGACTGCCGTTGATATTATTCGTAAACGTGCGTTCCGTCTAGAATGTCACGCGCGACGTTTACGGGCAACCCGCATTCGAGTTTTCAAAGTTGCAATTCCGAATATGGTTATTGATTGTACCGAGACTAGAATTTGCCGATTAGATTATAAGCCAAGTTCGCCTTTCTTTCGAGATACGTCGCGTCGTCGAAGGGATCGAAGGAAGAAAGGAGAAGAGCAGACTACGCGTCTACGGTTTCTATGTTTTTTAAGATGCCCGTTTAAATGACTTTGTCTTCCCATAATTACATACATACGTACATAATTATATGTAAACGCATAAGGTAAGACGCCGATAACGCGGCGAACATTTCTTTTTCTACGCGTATCAAAGTTTAGAATCGACTCTCTTCGCGTTTCATTATTTTTTTTTTTCTCTTTTATCGAGTAGTGTTTACACTTAAAACCAGGTACAATGTTTGTGGATAGAGATCGTAAACTCTTGATCGTCGCATAGATAATATACAGTGTTCGATGTTTAACTTATAAATCCAATGATTCCCAAGCTCGTTGGACGTCCCTTCGTTCCCGATTAGGAGGGAAAGCAGGAAGAAACGATTTACTCGTTTGCGAGGGAGGAACGAAGATTCGAGCCGAGATTGAAGTCGAACCGATCGGAGAATATTCAATGAAGAATATCGCGTCCTCAAGTTTGGGAATCAACGTATAACACACGATTAAGCACAATTCGATAACTATTATCCGTTTTATTCTACATGTATCAATGATTCTTCTCGACAAGACGTTAATCCCTGCATAAAACGAAACGTCTATGTATACAGTCGTTATATGTGTCTCGTATTATCTCTGAATGGAAAAAGTTAATAATAACGAAAGCCAGATGAGCATGAAAATCAAATTAACATAACGCAAAAGTATCAGGCGTCTCGTAGATTCGGAACGCTAATTGATATTGGAGATTAGAACTCGCCTCTACGAGACGTGCCATTGAAACTATAGAAATCAAACCCTTCCCATCCCGAATACAAGATTGTATTTGTTTTTAAGTCTAGATGATGTATACAGGACGATAAAAGCCAAATCAGCGAATTAAATAAATAACGAATACGATACCCGAGGTATCCGCGTAAAGAGAATAAAGAAACGTTCGGCGAACACGCAATATACGGATCGATGGTGTTAATCGGTATCGATGATCGTAGATTAGACTACATACCTATTATGTACATCATATCATCATTACTTATACGTAAATCGAAAATGAAAGGAAAGAGGTACGAATCTATCGATAGAGATTAAGATTGCATTATCTACGTTCTATGGTTTCTTCTAATTAAACTTATCGTTAAACGGCTATTAATGCATAATTAAATAATAACATGCTTAACTTGCGTGGAACTCGATGGAGGGTTCCCGTGTCTTAAACGCATTGTAACATAGCATAACGACGATAGAAAATACGCTAACGATTAGAGAAGATCGAGTCTGTTTTCCGTTAATTGATCAAATGCGACGCAACGAGCGCCGATGATTCTTTTACAAATTTCGATCCATCATTGTGCATTCGCAACATAATCAAAAAGTCTTTCCAATGATGTTGTCAACGTTGACACAGTCGTCCGATTGCGACTTTCGAAATTTTTTAATCGTATTCAATTTGTAAGCGAATTCGAAATCAAAACGTATAGGCGGGTAAAGATTAATAATTCTTTCTATTCGTGTCGCGTGAAGCTGATTATTATTATTGCGCGAACCGCTAGTTCGAAGAGAAAAAAAACGTTTGTTATCGAACAGAAGAGGAGGTTCGTGAATAAGTAAAAGATTTTAGTTGCCTAGATGAATCGAAATCAAATTCGTATTTCCTGAATCAAATGTATCTCGTAGCTCGTGGGCAAAAATCGTCGTCGGTGATTTATTTACAAACTGACGCTGTAAGTGAACGCGAGAAAATTGTATAATGTATCTACTTACTTATTAAATAATTGTGTAACCGTTACACATGTAATAAAAATCCAATGTTGTCAATAAAAACTAAATATTATATATAAAACTTAGAACGAGACGGAGATGTTAATCGAGCTTTTAATCAGGTATGGTCGAGGTAAATGAGATCCATGCATGTTTTATTTTATCTGTAGAGACAAGCATATTTTATTTGTACGAAAAACATACATAAAAATTACAAAAGATTGGACAATGTTATAAAAGTGGGACGCATACAGTTCTTTTTTAATACTTTGAACAGTTCGATAGGCCTCGCAAATATTTCGTTTTCCTTTTCACTCATCCTACGTGAAGTGCGATGAAACGTGAAATTTTTTCAAAAATTGAAAATCATTGCTTACGTTCCCGTGAACGTATTGGCACATTTTTCATAGGCCCGAAAATTATCTCGAAGAAGAACAAAAATTGCACGTTGTTCTTCTATGTCGTTAGTATATAATGTATATGTAAAAATGGACGGACGTTTGTTAAAAACTCTTTACGCTACATGGTACATATGTATATGTATAATATAAAAGGTAACGTATAAAAGGCACGCAATTCTATTAACTGCGAAACTCGTAAAAACTAGTTTCCCGATTTACGATCGAAATGTTTGAAGCATGTTTCCAAATGGCAATGCTTAATTTCAATCTGGATCGTGTTTCTTGGACGGAAAGCATGTCGTAGAAATATAAAGCGATATTTTTTACTCGTTAACGTTATGCCATAGAGACCGAAAGATTTCGCGAATATGCTTTCTCCTCCCATTCCTGATCGGAGGGAAGCGGGGCGTGCCGCAGTTTGCAAATACGGGAACCGTATTTTAGCATGAGTATTATCACGCAACAGATGAAAAGCGTCAGACAAGCGGTCGCTGGCCAAAAAACGTGCAGTCCCATTTTGCTGTGGTTCTCTACGTTAAATTAATCTCTAGGACAACGAGTCTGATCCCGACTTTGGCTACGCGGTAGATTAATTTCGTACGAGGTTCTACGTCTTCTTTTACGTTTGCGACGCGTTTGAATATACTATTAAATTTCGCTCTCACGCTTCTGCATTTCCATGTACTCCTGCGATTGCGGCGAAGCTCTATAAGATTTGGGATTATGATATTGTACGACCTGTTGCTTCTCTTGCGACTCAAAGACACGACCAGGCTCTAATTCACTCAGATCCAAGGGGGGTGTTTTGTGCGGTAGTACCGTCCACAATGGTTGAATCCATCTGTTGCCTGAATAAATAAAAATCATTACGGTACCATGCCAATGAATACGATTCGAAGGGAAAAATGAATGTTTTAATATTCAACCTACCTGTATGGGGACTAAGCCAGTATTGTCTGTGACGGGAACACAGACAGAATCCAACGTTTAAAATGAGGAGGAATGCGAATATCACAGAGCAGACAGTGACAGTGATATAAAACGGTGTAAAATCACCGTACTCGTGCTTCACGAAATACGGATTCTTCAGATAATCCTCTCGCTCGTCTAGAATGGACATTTTTATAAATTTTAGAGATTCGTCTGAAAAAGATAAACAAAGGTAGTTTTCCCTTCGGTGCATATACAAACGAAATGATTGAACGAAATGACCGAAGAGAATGGGTGTATCGTATTCTTTCTTTCCGCCTAATTTTATTCGAGGTCTGAGAATCGAACGAATTCGAGTTCGATAAGAATATCTTACAACAATGGAATAACACGCGTTTAAAAATTGTTGGGAGCGCGTTTGAAACAATTTAATTTTTTATGGGTGCAGATCTCGTGTCATCTGTAAGAAGTCGTTGAGTAGCCAAGGCGTGGCGTTAGGTCAACGTTATGCTATTGGGGTTACTTCAAGTTTTATCTATTTTATTTGAAACCTAAAAGTACACCGTGCTAGAAACTAATTAAAAAACAATGGCATCGATGTACTCTCACATGGCCGTGAAATAAGTTCGTTAGAAAAGAATTAGTTGTTCATCGTTCATTTAGGTAGGGAGATCGAAGCAAAATGTTAGCGTGATACTTACAATTCGTGCTCTCACAGATTTTTCGTTCCTTGGCTTTTTCTATCGATCGTAAATATAAACTTCGATCATTAAGATCGTACGTGATTTAATATTAATAACTTAAACACGTAATCGCGAGTACACACACCACTTGTTTGTCGTTCTGTTTGTTAGCAATACTTTTACTACTGAGTGAGCAATGAGCAAGTCGTATTCGGGCGGGGCGTTTTACGTATAGTGGGAGAAATGAATGCTTGGTGCACCGTTCGCATGTAACGACGAACAGGAAAATAGTTTTTAATGTTCTAAACACTTGTTTCTCCCGGTTATTATAATTATATTGTTTACGTTAAATTTCTTAATGAATCAGGATTAAAATTAAAATACAAAGGGAATACTGTAACAAAAGTTTGTTGATTAATTTTATTAAAATAAATTACAGTTAGTATTCTCTATAATGATTCGTACAGTCTTGTATTAGATTTTTGTAGCTATGATACACATATTCTCTAAGGATATATCGGTAGTTGTATAATAGATTAAATTACATTGGAATCCAGCGCTTTTTAAATATTCCAAACGACCCCAATTCAGCAATGACTTCACTTTACGACCGATCGTTTCCCGTTCTTCGGGAGTTAAAGTCTTAACATTCGTTCTGTAAAAATACGAGGTACAGTTATACCGATCGCATTATTTAATTAATAGCATGTATTACCTCGTATCCTCTGAATCGTTTTTACTATGTAGATTTTTAATTTGTTTATTTAAACTTGGCCCACAAGTTGCCCAACTCCCGATGCTACATAAAACTGTGAATTCGTTTGGTGCGAATCCACATTGGTTCAAGAACTCTTTGCCAACGTACGAAGCGTATTCGCACTTATGATGGCAACATAATGCAATTACCAAACCAGTAACATTTAACTTTGGCTCGGTTTGCGTTGCTTGAACCAAGCAGTTTAAAGCTAAATCTTTTGGAAACAAATATTTGTCAGTGTCTTTTGTAAATTGCAGAAGATACGGTATGCATGCAAAGTAAAAATACGTACCTGTAGCTGCGCCGCATAGGTGCTTAGCGATTCCTACTTTGTTCGGAAAATTCTGAATTTGTGTTACATCTGTCAGTTTCAAATCGGCAATATCGGCACGTATTCTCTCTATTACCAGAGGTGATCGTTCTCTTCTTAACTTATTGTCGCTTTTGTGTCTATGGCTGGAACGGTCTATCAATAAAATACAACAGTCCTTCCTATCCTTTATTATCTGACCCAGCCAATAGGTCAATTTACCCTTTCCTGCTCCAAATTCGATAAAGCACGTACGATCTTTTATAAGATTTGCGTGTTCTAAGTGTGACAACAAGGAAGAGGTTTGTAACATATGTTTTCTAATAGATCTTCCACACAATTCATGGTCTATCTTTTCTCGAAGCATCTCGTGCATCAGCACTGATTCAGGAAACTGCGGTAATTTCTCTGAAAACGATGTTGGATTTCAGTTGAAATTACATTTTGATCGATAGTTTAAATGCGACTTACCATAGGCAGCGTTTATTTTTTCTATTACTGTGCATATTAACAGTTCGTTTAATTCTGAAAGTGGAACGTGCCGTGGAGTTTCATATTCTTTATTCGTATTAATTCCTTTTACAATGAACGATGGTTGGGCATCAGATAAACGTTTCGCGTTGCATATCTTCAAGTGTTTAGGCAATTTCGATTGATAACACGTACTGGAAAGGGTCTATAAATATCGTGCGCATGAAGAAAAATGAATTAATCGTTAGGATAAACGCGTAGACTTACTGTGAAGGGTCAAGCGGGCATTTTATTCGCTTATTCGCAATTGTTTCGTTGGCATGATCCGGTTCGAAGGAAGATCCTTGATGTTCACCGCAATATCTGTTTCCCTCTTTCAATGTCATACGACAGTAACGCTTCTTCTTTTCCAAAAAGTACATACAATGATCTTTTTCTGCCATATTATCGAGTTATCAAATACCGTTCTTTTGCCAGTAACCTCAACCACACCGCTGAACCGCTCTATGTTCTGTAGGTTCTGTATTCTTACACACTTGTTTCTGCTATACATGTGCCATGTGGCAAGCCGCTCTATCGGCGGCTCGATCGTGATTGGTCAGAAGGTACGTTCCGGTGTGCACGCGCTTTAAATATAAGTCAACTACTCGAATTACACTTTATTTATTGTATGTCAATCAGATCGAGTGAAATTTCATTTTCATCTAATACGTTTCTAACATTTCTTCTTCATTTATTTCAGGATTCTCTCAACCAGGACTTCTAGGCATAATAAGACAAACAGTGAACAAATAGTTCTGCCCATACTATTATTTAAAAGCGACACCCTTTGTAAAGTATTGTGTGTATTCGAAAGTTTAATTAATAAAGAAATAGCTTAAAAAGAATCGAAACGTCTTTTACTTATCTTTATCAATATCCATAATCCAATCCATTTCCCGTGTAATCTTCGTCAAGTACAAATAGAAATAAGATAGAACAGAAATTTAAAAAATGTGACGTCATCGGCAAAAGTTAGTGCCACCTCCTATGCTCTCATGTTCTCCTGATACAAAACCTGATTTTTGAGAAAAATTTTGATTTCGAGAATTCTTGGAATTGTGACGTCACGGCGGGATTTAATGCTACCTCTTATCATTTCATGTTCTCCTGATACAAAGTCCAAAAATCCGAATTTATTGAAAGAATTTAATCTTGTAACAGGAGAATATAATAAGTGAAGAGGTATCTCTTCCTGGAATTCTGTGACGTCATAATTCCAAGAATATCTGAGCATACAATTTCATGCGTTTACAACTAATTTAATACTGATCAGAGTTATTTTATCGAGTTTCCTGTTTCGGAATTTATCCTTTATTGTTCCAAGTTCTACTGTTGGACAGGTAATTGAATAAAGAACGCTTAATTAAATTTGACTGAACTGTTTATTCATAACATTAATACATTGCGAAGAGACAAGGGATATGAGATAAGCAAATACATTTTATAAAATAAATAATTTTATTATACAAGTTACAACAATTGGCAATCCTCGTACAAAGGCTGCTGAGAGGGTTGAGATCGTGTCTCGTTACGAATCTAACAAGCACGAGGATTCCCCAACAGCACTCAATATTATTCCAACGTTGCTTCAATATTAAATGCTGTTGGGGTAGTCCTGTAGATGCTAGAAATGCATCCATTGTCTTGGAGAGGAAAAAACAGGCATAGATGTGTAGTACGAAGACTATGATTGAATTGGTTTGACGTCAATTAAGTATCATTAGAGCAGTTTCGTTCCAAGTGCCAGCAGCACTAGTAACCGCAGTAGTCCAGTAGCATTAGTGAATGCAGTTGCAGTAGTCCAGTAGCCTTCAGTCTCGAGCAATCGCAACCAAAGGATTTCAAAATATTATACATTATTAATATCGCATCGATACGTATTATAGAATACTTCGCTTTATTAATTCTAACTAGGAGTCAAAGATGCCCACGAACTATCATACTTAAAATTACTGACAAGACACCTGATCTGCTCTAGCTGTAAATAAATACTAAATTAATTCTCTTCGCCGTGTCTTTCTTTTAAACTAATCAAATAACTCGCAGATCTTTTTCAAACAGTGACAGTAACGTTCGTATGCGTCGCATTCAAGCGATCGTTAAATAAAATGAATATCTACTACACGCTCATCATTATTTCTCTCATGGTCCAGACATTGTCACATGTCGATCTATCGTGTAAATTAGACGAATTGAATTTTAAGGCCAATACAGACTACATTTAATATTAGCGATTTTGTAAGCGCACGACTACGCACACGTAATACCGTTAAGGCTAAATTTAAATCTACGTTTGTGTCGCACGTACGTGGATACTCGAGGCACATAGTACGCAACATCTACTTGCATACATCGTTCCGAACAACGATCCATCCAGTCTAAAATTACTGCTAATTGAACGCCTTCTTGAGTCGTGACCTACCGTGCATAAAGTGTTTAATTAATAATCTTATCGTACACCGTTCCATTGCGCGATTCCAACGATTAAACAAAAAAATAAACGCGCACGAGTGTATAAAATTAAATCCAAACGCGCGTTGCGAAGACCTGTTGTGTTGATTACTTGTAATCTGTTACCTGTAATCTCATTACGTTTCGACCCCTGATCGCGCACGGCAGACGAATTCGAATAAACGAATATACATATATTTTTCTTACCAACTTAACGGAAATTAGTCAAACGGACGTCAGAGTGTGTAAATAATACTAATTACAAAAAATTTATACACTGATATCCAGACTGACGATGGTTATCGATGTGCGCGATAAGCCTAGAATTTGAGAGTCCAATTAAGCGCGGGGAACCGGATCGCCAGTTTCTGTTACGATTAGCTTAAGTTCTGTTGCTGTCGCGAGCGCGTGCGAAGGTGTATCTCGCCAACCTGTTGCTATAAAATCGTGTATCCGTGTTCGCTTTATAATGCGAAGAAGAAGGTCGATTGTTCCGCGCTATCGGAAATATTTGCGCCTCTACCTTTACAAACCGTTCTGGCGAAATAGATTGCACACGCTACTGGTTATTTTATTTATCATTTTTATCATTGTCTTTCTTCGTATATGGCTTCGCTCGGTAGGAGACAGGATCCAACTCCCTTATGATGCAGAGCGAGATGATGAGCAATGGGAAGAGGCGTACATCGGAGGTACGTTGTTGTTTTAAACGATCAGTTACCAAGATTTGAAAACGTTTCATTTAGAAACAATTTAAAAAAAATTAATTCTGAGAATTATCGGGAAGCGAGAGATCGAGAGACGAACCTCGAGTAGATTCGAAGTGTCTCGTGCGTAAAATCTAACGGAAGTTTGGTGGTAAAGTTTGTAGACTCATAAAACGTATACTTGTCGCGAGGAAAGGTGAATAAAGCCGTCGTGACGATAGATTAAAATGTAAAACGTATTGCATAGTTTTACGTACGGACAGATAAGTTTTATACACACACAGAGATTTGTCGAAGCACGTGGCACTATTCTCACCTCTATACCTGCTTAAAACGTATGTACGATGCACAAATCGTACTTACACACATATAACGTATGCACGTAAAACGTGGTATCGTTAGTAACTTTATCTTTACTGCTGTTACAGTTCTGAAGCGGTGGTATACTGGCAACGGTAAGTTATCGCGAAAAAAAAACTCGTCTTCTTTATATTCGACAACTAACACGATTAACGAAAATGCTGTAAATGTTCTGTAAATTTAATACACACATAATTATTTCGTACGGTTACAGTTGAGATTTACAATTTAAAAATTGTGTTTAGAGTACTCTGCGTGTTTATGTTTGCATGAAGAGTAACGGTGTACTAATAACCACGTACTAATAACGACGGCATGGCCGTATTGACATGGCAAATATTGATCCGTGGTCCCTCGACTTATCGTTAATTCTTTACTCGTGATGAACGTTTTAATCATTAACGATAATTTACAATGATGCATCAGGGACAATCGACTAATAAAATAACAAACTGATTATTCTTACGATGGTAGCTATTTTTGGTCGGAGGAATCTAGCGTGTGCCGGTTCTCTCATTCGTATTACGAGCAACCTGTTAATTCCTGATGACGTCCGTAAATTTAATTGGCATACCTGTTGAATGCGTTTGCGAAAGTGAATGGAGATTGATGTTACGAAGTACTTAATCTCGATACAGGATATCGTGTTTAACGCATTAATCGTTTCTCATAATCTGATCAAAAATATATATACATATATACTATAAAAATATATAGAATATAGATAAAACTTCTTTGTCGATTCGTTTTCCTAGTTAGTGAAGAATTATATTTGTTGCACGAGACTACAACATGCACGTACATAATATTTCCTTAAATAAGATAGGCGATAGACTTATCGAGGTGTTCATATTTTACAAATGCTAATTTAATTGGACACAAATACCGCGTTACATCCATCTATTAGCGACGCGTTTACTGTTACATGTTTGCGCGGATATTGCACGACTAATAAATATTCACCTTGCGGTAATACTATTAGTGTGTCATACTGAAACGCGAACGAGTTTATTGTTCTCGAGTTAAACGACATTAAAGGATTCCTTCCTTCCGCTTAAAATTAAATTCCTTTTTCGCACGACAACTACTTACAATTAAACTTTTCCTACTTACAATTAAACTGGTTCTTTGGACACCGTGCAAACGTATATGTACATAACTCGCGGAATCGTTGTCAGAGGATGCATGGTACAATGGGAAAAACATCACGCTCTCGGATACAAAAAATTGGGAACGATACATCGACCACGTGAGACAACATTGGATATACGCGGCATACGACCCGAAACGAAAATACAAACTCAAGAATCCACTGACGGCGGACACGTCGGCTGGCCAAGCCGACATCATACTTGAAACTTTCAACAACGCGGTATGGATGGACGAAATCTACGCTCGACCGGGAACATCGCGTTTAAACTAATACGTAAAAATGTATAATACTCACAGAAAAATGGCTTCTTCGTGGAGTGCGGTGCTTACGATGGAGAAACCCGGAGCAACACGTTGGTGCTCGAACGATTCTTCGGCTGGACCGGTCTCCTCATCGAAGCGGATCCGATCAACTTCAGCAAAATGGTGAGGAAGAACAGGAGGGCTCTTCTGTCGCCCAGCTGCCTTGCCGTTCATCCATATCCCTCGGTGGTACGAAAGTCCGTAGTTTAAAAGAATACGATCGCGAAAATTCTACTAATTTCTTCATCGAGACAATTTTTCTTGTATTGATCATCGTTCGATTAAGAATACGTTCCTGATGGCCGACAACGTTGGACGTCTTCACGAACCGAACGAGGAAGACCGACACCGGCAAAACTCTGCGGACGTAGCTTACACCGGGCAACACATCAAGGTGCAATGCATTCCTTTTGCTCACTTGATGGCCGCTCTTAACGTGACCGCCATCGATTACTTTAGCCTCGACATCGAGGGATCCGAGTTGGAAGTGTTGAAAACTATTCCCTTCGACAAAATAGACATCACGGTACGTAGCAAAATCCATCATGCGCTTTCTCTTGTTGTGAACGTAATGAAACTGTTCCAGGCTCTCTCGGTCGAATTCTCGCATATAGAATCGGATGTAGAGGAGTTAAACCAGTTTATGGACTCGAAAGGCTACATCATTTCCACTTCCCTTACGAGGGAAGATCGTTTGGCCAACGATATAATATACGTGAAAAAGGAGGAAAACAGTAATACGAAAACTTCATCTACGGATGTTTCACGCAATAGACATGATTTCCTCGACGTTCTAAAGCGTTTAAGAAATAGTTAGAATTTCATAATAAATTTTTGCGTACCGCGAAACACTTTATAATTTATACTCGTGAGAAGTGAACGAAAATCGAGTTTTAAAGCTGTTGGACCTTTGGTATCACCGACACTGTTTTTCTTTCGATTTTATTTTATAAAATATTTACAGGAACGTACATTTTACATAAGAAAAATAAAGTGTTTCTCTGCGTGGTTACATCGGCACTGACAGCGATTCTCGAACGAACGAAAACGAACGTTAATCGTCAACCAAGAACTTCGTGGAACTTCTACGAGCATTGTATTTGCATGCGATAAATAATGTATGATTGAAACGGGAGGCTGTCCATTAGTTTTTAAACGATACTGGAATGATAACTAACGGTTAAAGCTAAACGAATTTGCTATTTATTGCCACGTCATGAGCAATAAAGTTGTTTGCGACCATCCGCGACGGCTCTAACAAAAATGTCTACTATAAGTTCTTTTACGATTAAATAAATAACTCTCTATTAAATAAAGCTTGCGTCTGCAGACTAGTTTCGTTGCCTCTCCTATACCATGAATTCGCGTGAAAGAACCGCGCCCAATCATTTAAAAAATATCGTCGTCGATCTCTGACGAAGTCGCAATTATTCTCGTAATTACAATTAACATCGGACGATGAAACTGCGCTCATGCTTCGGCACAGGTAAGTATACGCTTCTAATAAGTCTGTAGGAACTGAAATTCTGCGTGGAAAGATCAATTTGTAACTCTACGACGATCCAAGCTCTCTCTACTTCGTCAACGGAAATTTATGACGGGCGCTTAAACTAAAGCTATAAAATCGAGATCCCGTTCGGTATCTAAAAATAAACCCACATCTGTCTATCGTTACACTTCATCTTTTGCGTACTTCTATTCCGGTCGTAATTGTACACGGTCTGGCTCGCCCTTCGTTCGAATACTTCCGCGGTAAAACGCGATCGTTACTAATCTTACCTCGAGGAAATTCTCAATCCGAATATCTATGAACAAAGGAACGACATCGAACGGTACTAGATACATACACGTCTATGATAATACTACGGCTTTACCGTCGCTCCGCGGAGACGGAACTCGGAATCGTTCGCGTATTTACGCTGTTACGGTATCTCGGAATGATTCGAAAGATCACAGTCTGAAAAATGTTCCCCTACCTACACGCTTCAAACGTAACTCTCCTGGCTGCCGTTAACGACGTTGCCACCGACGAGCGTCGTTCGAAGCGGTACCTTCGTCGGTTTCTCGACGGTCGCGTTACCAGGTGGCACTTTAGCGGTGCTGCTCTTGTTGCTGCTGTGCCTCCTCCAAAAGTCCGAGTGATTGCTGCTGCAGTTGGTCGAGCCTGTGTTGTAAGTGCCGGTCTTCTCGGAAGTTTTCTTCTTTTTCCTCCTGTTAGGTCCCAGGCCGCACAATCTTAGGAAGCCCTCCCTGAATTTGGTCGACATCATATTGTACAACAGAGGGTTGATCGCCGAATTCAGGTAGAGCATCACCCGGCAGAAGTAGAGCAGGCTGAAGTACGTCTCGACGCCCATCCTCAAGATCGCCGCGGACGGGACCACCAGAATCCAGAGCGTGAACGCTCTGAACGGTAGCAGGCAGAAGAAGAAGAAGAACACGACCGTGCCGAGCATCAGCATCACCTGCTTGCGATACCTGAGCAAGTTGTTGGACGAACCGCGGCTGATCGTCGGATTGGTCATCAGGTGAAGCGCTATCACCGTGTAAAGGACGACCAGGATCAGGAACGGGACGACGAAGAACAAGAGTATCGTTAAGAGGACGACACCCTTGGCCCAGTACTCGTGCGCGACCGTGTTGCACGTTGGGATGAAAACGCCGTTCGTTTCCTGATCCTCGTAGGTGACCATCAGTAAAATGGGACTGTGAACAGACGCGTTTTTTCGTGGTCACTGAATGCCTCGCGGGATACTCGTCTAGCTACTGATCTATTACATCCGCGTATTCGTATCGAAGCTCGTTTTATTCTTTCAAATGCTGTTACAAACGCGTTGAAACTATTCGACACAGGGGTGATAAGTAACAACTGGTGTAAAAGGATCGTCGCAAAATCACACGAAGTTCTCTTCCTGTTCGCTAGTGTTCGATCTCTTGGTCGTGGTCGTTCGGATCGTGACTCCTCTATCGTCCCACCGTCTAGTTTTGCACAGTCCCACAAATCCTCTTCGGAACTTGCTGCTCATTAAATTGTACAGTATCGGATCGATGGCGCTGTGCAAGTAGAACATGATCCTGCTGAAGTTCAGGAGTCCGAAGAACGTGTCCCGATCGATGGCGGCGATATTCTCAGCCGGCGCGATCACTATATAAAATATCAGTATCCTGTACGGTGTCAGGCACAGGAAGAACCCGATCACCACCGACAGGAGCATGGCGATCACGTGTCTCTTCGCTCTGGCGTGATAAGAATCGGCAGCGTTGTTCGATCGCCGCCGCCGATCGGGCATCAGTCGTTTAACGATATATGCGTAGAGGACGATCAGAATCAGCAACGGGGCGAGGTAGAAGAGGAGGACGAGGAGCAGGAAGAAGATCACGGTCACGTTAGCGTCGGCCATGGTCAGGCAGACCGGAACCAAATTCTTGCTGTCCTGCTTGCTGCCTTCGCTGCCGTTGCTCCTCAAACGGATCTCCTGGTACTGTGAGACCCAAATTATGGGACTGCAATCAGTTAAAGTGAATTTGGCGGTGCGCCTGGCTGAGCTACACGAATCGTTCACGCTCCTCGAAACAGTGTCCGGGTACAGCGAAAGGAGATTCGCGGTTAACAGTCAAGCAGTTAGCACCCCTCGTTACCGATCTTGGTTCTTCGCATGCCCTGTGCTCTTGGACCAGGATCGATTAAACGTTCCCGGAGAAGCGAAAAAGATATTGAAAGCGATTAACAATTCGATAAGGAAAGGAGAAAAGATGTAGAACCGTTTAATAAATCGGCGAACAAACCGGTTTAACGTGATAACGCGAAGAACGGCGGTACACGCAGCGATCGATTTATTTGCTCGACGAGAAATTGGGTCAACGATGTATTATTATACAGAGGATTTTACGAACTCCGTTTCCGAACATTTTAATTAAACGGATTAATAATTAATCATCTCTCCGGGTCCATCCGAAACACGTATTCTGCCCTTCGTCCGTTCATTCGATGGGTACCCCATCCTTTCACCAGATTCTCGTCTCTCGACGCGTTTTCGATTTCCTCTTTTTGCGAAAGAGGAGAAGATGCTCTTAACTTTTTCCAGGGTCGTTTTAGGTATCGAAAAAACTGGGATCCATTGGACGGGGAGGTAGGGACTCCCACGCATGCAACGAAACACACACTGTGCTGTTATCGCTTCCTTCTCCCTTTCTGCCCTTTCTTCACCGCCTCCGCTGCGTTGGCTCGCCACGAACAACCCCGAATCCAATCTTCGTACGAAAAACGACGCCGCGATATTGAATTTCCTCCGATGCTCCGAACTAACGCAATTTTCGGTAATTCTTAGGATACCTACACAGTTTTTGCTCGTACAAAAGCGGAAGAGAAAACTCGTTTATCGCGTTTGCCGTATGTCAACGGGCACACGTACTACTAGATTGTGAACGATTGCGAGCTGTCCCGTTGGCCATGCATCGTTGCGATCGACGGTAAATCTTCTTAGCGCGGATATTGAGTTTCCCTCGACGCGACGCGAAACGAAGTGGTGCAATTCTTTTAAAATCCGAGAACGTCGACGACGCAGGCAAAATTAGCCTTATAGATCAGGCAGAAACGGTTTATTCTGGATGATCCATCGATGGTATTGTGTCGCAGGACCGTCTGCAGACTCCTCAAACTTGATTCAAGAAGTTCACCCCTCGAAATTATACGATACGCAAAGGGTCGCGCCATATATCTTGCACCCGAGACTCGATAAACCGGAATACATTTGCTTATTCGGCAGTTCGAAGCGATGTACAACCGACACCGGGCATAACTTTTCCTCGAAATCAACAGTTTCCCTTTCGGACATCGCTCTCACCGTATTCATCCTCGCTGGCAATTTATTTTTACACTCGCAGAGACTCGTATCTGTCTGCACGCATAATAGATGAACTTTCGGAAAGCTGTTTACTACGAAATTTTATTACGCATCGAGTTTGTAGTCAACGATTCGGAAAATCGACTTCCTTCAGAATCCGTCGACGAGGACGCGCGGAAAAATGATAGGAAGGGTTAAAATTAGAACGCGTCCCTTTCGCTTTCGTACATTAGGAGATGGAACTGGAGCAAAAATTTCCGTACAATCTCGAAACCTCTCAGTTCCCTTGATCTTAATCCATGGGCGCGGATCAGGCGTTTCGTTCGCCATCGATAACGTCGGAAATCCCAGATTACGTCGGACCGCAAACAATATAGAGACGTATACACGTAGTATATCGCGGGGGCGTCGCGTTAAGTTCTCTGTCCCCATTAATACTATCGGAGACAGTAGCGCATTCGGTGAAGATCACTTCTGAACTCCTCGTATTACCAAGTGTCCCTCCAACTTTTGTTTTTCATCTCCTCCTTGTTTGCGCAACCGATTCACCCAAGGTTGGGATTCTACCCAGCTGAGTTATGATTCATAGAATCCTGCGCTGGGCCTTTCTTCGAGCTCCAAATTTCAAGTCATTATTTAAACACAACTTCGGCTCTATTTATACCTTCTTTCGATTCTCAATTCTTTCTAGAGATTCTTCACCGTGGAAACTTAATACGTCTCCACATCTTTTTACAGCGTTTTCTACCTCGTCGAGCGATTTTCCTCGACTTTCTTTACGATGTAGCGACGCGGTGTGACTGTGTAGCTGTAGCACGTAGTCCCACGAGCGACCATAAATTCAGCTAGAGGCCTCTCCTCTTTGAATCGGGGTAACCGCGTCACCGCGCGAGCTACGAGAGGAGAAAGTGTTAGCGACGCGACGCGTGAACCTTTGCCACTAGATATGGTTCACGGGTGATTTTTTCTTTACGACACGCGATAGGAGCCTCGGTTCTCCTCTCTTCAAACTCACCGCGTAAACTTTATGACTCGTGAGAATCGAATTTTCCGAGGTTTACGTTACAAAAAGGCACGATAGGACAGCGTGCGAATTAATTCCACGCCCTTTACGGTACCACTCGATTCTTATTCCTCCTCGTTCCTTACTTTACGCTGTCGTTCATCGCTGCTGAAACATCTTCAGTATTCTTATAAATGCCGAATCGATTCGGATTAGATGTAATTTAACCGTGTAAATCTTTCGATCGACACGGACACTCTTGGAAATGTTTAAACACGTTGTTACACATTACTGTTTGACTTCCATCGGTGTCAACGTTTCCACCATCCGTTTATTCGTTCCTCGCGAAGAGAATGTCGTGACCGGAAGCGTCACGCTTAATTAAGCAGTTTGGTCGTAAAATCTTATGCGCGCGGTGCCATGCAGAAAAGAATATAGCAGGGAAAAAAATAGCTGCGAACAAACGAGGCGCGAAACGTTCAACGGGATGAACAATATTGTACGCGTAATTGGTACAAAGTGCGAAGACGCGCGGATACGTGTAATTTAATGGGCGCGGAAAAATGAAGAACATCGGTGTCCTACGATTAACGGAGAACGGACTAAGCACCGTGATAATAAATAGACCGGTCGACCGAAATTTATGCAGAGGGGCTGCCGATAAATTAAGTGAAAAACAGGAGGTCGCTTTTAATCGCTTCCACACTAAATTAAACTGCGCTAAATGCTGTGCAACGAAAAGGAGAGAAGCGGGAGGAGGAACGGGGATGACTGCAGAAGCAAAACAAAGCATGCGGTTCGAGTTTTGGATATCCTTTTTATTTCTTACCTCGTGCATAACGCTGCAGCGACCCATGCAGCCACGCAGAGGAACATCGCTCTGGTCTTTGTGCACATGTATCTACGAAGAGACGAGCAAAAATTCAGCTACGGATCAGATCGATTATTAATAGTTCGCGAATGATCGCTTACCCGACTCGCAAAGGTTCGCATATCGCGTAATATCGTTCGAAGCTAATCGCTAAGATGGTGAGGACCGAAGCGTGAGCCACGGTCAACTCGACGAATGGCACTGCCTTGCCTGAAAGGAATGAAAATTATATTGATACACCGGATTCCTGCAGTTAAAATTGCAAGATGCGCGACCTCTCGTAAAGAGGCGAGAGAGTAGTCTGACCACGTACGGACGTGTTCTACTGATTCGTGATACCACGTCGACTGATCTCAGGAATATCTCCTGGCCGATTATTTAGTCGTACGTCTCACGATTTACACGCGAACGTATTTTCACCGTCTCGTTGAACGTGTCAACCTCGAAAACTCTATCATGTATAAGAAGGAACAATGTGTTTAACGTTTCTTGCGTGCGGCGAGCAGGAAAGATTTGCGATTCCCGAAACGAAGGTCGCCAGAGAATCGTGGAGTCGCGATAAAGTGGAACCATGCTCCGGACACTATTATTTTCCTCCATTTACTCGGTGTCCACCGTGTCGAGTAATTCTTTCACCCCGCAGTTTCCCGGAAGTTACTGTTAGTTACCTTTTGCGGCAAACGTCCCCACTTCGAAACCAAATAGCATTCCGAGACTTTTCCATCGTAAGATCGTCGTTTCTACCCATACTAATTGCACGACGCTTGTATTTATTAGAATCCGGCCCTGATACGCAGTCATAAACTTTTTTCTTTTGTAGTCTTCGCGATTCTTATCGAGCGAGAGAGGAGCCCGTCGTCGTTCCGACCGTACAACTCGATAAGAAGGGAACGCGCGGTTTAGGAGGACCGTCGTATATTTTTGATTATCGTTTCCGCAATCGGCAGCAGTGTTTGTCGGAGGAACTCTCCCCCTCGATTTATGACTGCTCCTTGTCAACCTCACGTTTGCCAATAAAATGCGAGTGTTTGTGGGAAGCTGGTGCAGCTAATGAATTAGTATCCCGATATTGGAGCCGATTTCACTCGGCGCTCTTAGGACCTCGATTTGGAGATGTGAGTGCTAAGAAGGAATATTTTGGGGAGACCTCGAAGACGATCGTGCGCGAAGCTAGGCCAAGGTGGAGAATAGGAGTACGAGAGACCGATTGTTTCAGGAGCACGGAACGATGGACAAGGTTGATGGGTGGGTGAAACGAGCGGGCCAACTTCTACCACCCGCCAGGCATTACCGTTGCTCTTAGAAGGGCTGGGAGGCATTTAATGCTACACACACTAACCTCGTCCCTCTATCCAATTCTCTTTAACCTTCGTCCCAGGAAATAGAATGGAAAAGGCGCCGCGCCGCGCCTCCGTCTAAATATCCTCTCGATCTCGACGAAACGAAACTGGCACAGAAATTTTCAAATCCTTACCGCGTCGAGATATACCAATAAATCGAAAATCGTTCGCGTTTCCACGTACGTTTACAATTCCCGGGTACACACAGGACAACGCAGTTTTCAGCTTTTTTAACATTGAGACAAACAGAGAGACACGTATTTTTCATGGATCTGTCCGTCCTTTATTATACCGTATAATGCGTTAACGTTAAACGAATCCTCGCGCCGTTTTCACTGAACGGAAAATTAGGTTTATCAGTTGATAATGCAACCGGCAGACGTGACGCTTCAAAGAATCCCCTCCGCTAACTAAAACCGGAACGCATATACGTGTACGTATTTCGAAAAGAGTCAGGAAATTTCTATTTTAACGTCGAGAACAGATGAAAAAGAATATTTCTGCATTTTTAATAATAGTAGCCAATTTTTTAACAAATTTCCAATTATTCAAGCTTTGCATTGTATATCCTGCATATTTGCACAGTACAGTTTTATATTATATTACGTTGATTTAAAGTTCCCTTTTCCCAGCTTTTTTAGCCCTGTTACAATTATCATCGTTATTATTAATTCGCATGTAAACGAATAATTACAACAATAAATGGATCTCGTTAAAAGTTTATTCGGTCGACTCTCATTACAACCGTATGCAGGAAATGTAAAACATTGATTAATTAAAACGTCGGGTTAATAATGAGAATCGGAATCGTGGAAGGATATGAACAGCTTCGTATGTTACAGACATTAAATGCTTTGAAATGTATAACGAAAACGATGAAATCATCGAACAATTTCTCGTTATTCGAGAAGCGTGCAAAAGAATTTTGATCAGAACGGATCGTCATCGGCCGTTTTCGATGATTGACGAAGATGGAAACCCGGTCTTGCGAGGAAGAAGCAGTGAAAACAAATTGTCCTGGCGAAAACAATTTTCTTTGTAACCTTTTACGCGTCACCCTCGCCTCGCATTTTACATTCAAATAGAAATTCCATCGTAAATGCGCATTTTCTCAAGAGTGCCTCTACCCTTTTTTCCTCACCTTCCTTCATGGTTATCGTCCGTCCGATAATTTGGCACTAAATTGTAGGAAAGCGATTCGCATCGATGTGGGCAAATCCAATAAACATCGATCGATACCTCTGTTTAAGTTTAACCAGCAGCAACTTGAGATTAATCTTCGAGTTTCTTCGAACACGAATTCATGGAACATCCGTTCATCTCGGTGACTGAGTCTCGTTGTTGGAAATTGGACTCGTTTTCAGTCGAAACGTTTCCTCCGATTTCAGATGAAATTAAGCCAGAGCGCAAAACAGTTTAAACCTTTCTAAATCCGCGATTCGTTTCAAATCTCGGACAATTAGCAAGACGGATCAAATTAAATCTTGAAGCGCTGCAGAAAATTATCTACGAACTCGAACCGCCTCTCGTTCACTCAAGCCGGAAGCTAACTTTAACTGCTACTATCTATTTCATTTGCCACGCGCGTACGTCCCTGTTTACGAATCTCAAAACACGCTACAAGACGCTTGGAGTATAATTTTATTGAAACTACTCAGAATTCATCGTACAACTCGTCACACGATTTACTGTTTAATTCCGATTATATAATTACTATAATATCCAAACTGAATTAATTTCCAATGGTTACTAGCTTCGAATATTCGAATAGCGTTTAGATGCGTGCTAAAACTTATGAACGGAAGTGTAACTACCGCAGCTCCTGCAACTAATAGAATCTGACGTCTCGTTGTTGGGAGGGTGAGTCCGACCGCGATCCAACGGAAACCAATTGTAAGTTCAATTAGGAAAGTTCATTTTGGCTGCGCGCCATCGAGGGGGTCATCGAATGGAACACCCGGACGCGATTCTGATTATCTTAATACATTCAACGGGCCGGTGCAACGATAAGCATGGTAAATACGCGTAACAAGCCCGGCAGCTATGGGTCGGGCCAGCAGATATCTTGCCGTAGTCGCGGCTCTCTCGAATAAATTATAGGGTTACATTGGAATTTCGCTGCCACGGGAAACTCATAAGAATACTTGGGTCGCAAGTTTCTCCCGATATTTTCATATCCTCAGGCATTATTCTACTACTCGTTACGTCGATGACAGCGGCGATAAGACCGACGGGAGGGAATTACGTGCGGTGAGTCCAAAAATTATTAGCACAGAGATACTTATACTCGTTTAAAGAAGAAAACACGAGGGAAAACCTATAATTTGTTCTTGGATGATAAGAGTGAGGAAAATGAAGTTTATCATCGATTGGATAACGAAGATAGATCGATCTGCACCTTTTCCACTTTATTTAATTATCAGAGACGGAGGACCGAGAACGGTTCTAGTTTTTAGGTCAATTCTCGCAGGTCTGACCCGTTGCTCCAAATTGATTTCACGATTTGGTCAACTGAAATTTGTGAGAAATACATTTTTTGGCTCCGTTACGCGTTTGTTTTAATATCGACAAAACAAGATTTTGATTATTCGATCCGTTCGAATCGCATAGAATAAATTGAGAACCGTTTCTTTACTAAATGCAGTTAGGGAAGCACGTAACCGGATAACTCGAGCAAAGTTAAAATCCAGGACACGCTACCGAATAGACGTCGGTCTATAATGGATAAATACAATAGCTATTAGTTGTCTCCTGAACTTTAAATTATGTTTCTTAGAATTTCTATTCTTTTTCCGACTTCGGACAACGTATGGACAAAAGATGGTGGAATCAAACGGTTTGTCAATTTCGAATCGTTCCCCAATTTGTTTTCGAGCCAGATAAATTCATCATTCAATCAAAATTCAGATAAATTCATCATTCATCAAATCAAACATTCGTCGTGTCAAAATGGAGCAGAATTCGTAGAACAGTGTTTGGATTTTTCGGGGAAGGAACAAACAAAGATCGTTGAAAGCTCGTTGAAAGCTCGTCTATCGACTCGCGTGAAATGAGTAAGCTTTCTCTTATTTTTGGTTTACAGTTTATTTCTTTACTTTTATCAATCGACTAACTACGAACCGACGAACTCTCTACTGCCAAACTCCAGACCTAAACCGATAAACGAACAAGCGCGAGAACTAACTAGGAATCGTGATATTGCGTTACGGTTATCTACAAAGGACTGTGCCGACGCAAAGTGATCAACCATTGTTGGAATACTGTTAAAACCCGCCTGACTCGTTTATTATCTATTTAGGTTAGTCCAACGACCGAGCTGTAATCTACACATTTCGGAACCGTTCCACCTGACGCGTAAACCGGAAGATTAGGCCACCCTCTGTTTCTTAACGATTTTTTAATATCGGGGTTCGAGGGAGACGAGGCTTGCCCGATCTTTTATAAAATTCCGTCGACGACGTCTCATGTAAAATGCCTGAATATAAAAAATTGAGAAACGATGAAACTTGTATCGAATCGGGAATCGAACAGCCAAGTTCCTCCGAATTCGAGTAGGTAAATTATAAATTTAGTTCGGTCTAACAGTCGTCTGAGATCCGTCGTTCCTCGGTCACGGACAAACGAAATGATTTAATAGAGGGTGGAATAATGGCGCGACGAACGCGGTGCCGGTGAACTCTGCGAGAATAAATTAAGACCACGGGAAAAAGAAAAGGCGACTGCGAATTCCGTGAAATCGCGTTCCGAATAACGAGAACTGTAATGGATTCTGGCAACGATTCAAGAGCGAAGCAAGACGTACGTTCATAGATAAAATCGTGTCAATCCGCAATTCCCATTGTTTTCGATGGGAATATCAGATTCTGGAAA